TCTTTTTCTCCTTTCTTTTTTTTTTTTCTTTTTTTTTTAGGTCTTCGAGTTTTCCAACAGATAACAGATAATCTAACCAAACCAAACCAACGACTACCATTCGACTACCAATCAACAAGAAATACCATGATCAGAACGAGTTTGGAAGAATGAAGGAGACCGAGTAACTCACGCCACACCATCCAGGGCCGAGTTTCACCGCCATGTCATTCGACCCGAGCAGATCTAACGAAGAATCAACAACCAAACCAACAACACCGAATCATCCAATTTGATCCAATCTAACTACCAACTACTACGACTACCAACAACTACCTAGTTTGCGATATCAGCATCCGCTGGAAGCGAACGTTAACTTGTCATCTACCTACCTACCTACCTACCAATGGCAACCACTCTTTGCTAAAGACTGGTTTTAAAAAGGAACATGAAATTTGAACACATTGATTCTATTCACCACACATCACACAGAAAAAAAAATTCAATGTCACCAACGTTGTTGTTGGTCTGTAGTCTGTAGTGTAAAAATGAGGACAGATGGATTGACCTACTTATGCTTCCCTAACTGATTGTAACGTTACTTAGACTTAAAAAACATTGGACTTGCCATTTTCTGTTGAAGAAACCTACCTGCCATGAAACCAATCTTTGCATACGTCACATTCTATCATGAAAAGGGTTTCATCGTAAGGTTTTTTGCATAAACAATAAATCGGCTCCGTTTCAGACGCCATTATTGACAGTGTTGTTCGATTATCAAGTAACTCTTGTTGTCAGCAAAGTCATTTTCGCATATGAGATGGGACTGGAAAACCAAGACTAGGTCGGGTCAGACGCTGACCTTTTAAGTATGACGTCATGTATTTCCCATCTTTGCAACAGGTACCCTTGCCGATGAAATATTTGTAGCTCTTCCAATAATATCATTTCAATTCTAACGCTTAGACAGTAAAGGAGACTTAGTATTTTGTATTTTAGACTATACATGTAATTGTGTTATTAGGAAAATTACGAAAATGCTTTTCTCTTTAATAAAACAATATTGGAAATAAGCAACATTCTTTATCAGCAACGGATTTTATATATAGCCCAAAAGAATTATCCCGATCGCACCTAAATGTTAAACAGAATCAGCCATGTCAAGTAAAAGATGGATTCTCAGATTTTCCAATAACAATGAAGATTTATTCCATCTTACTTTATAACATTGCCAGGTTGATGATTGTGGTGCTTTAAAGAAGTACGAATGTTAATGATTCTTTTTAGTTGATGCAGTAATTCAACATTGTTAAGAAAGATCTTCATGTGAAAATGGCTGGTTAAAAGTTCTCGAAGAACTGTCTAAAAATCAAAATGGCGTCGAGGAATGTCAAACCGTCGGCACCAACATTTGATCCCAATGAAAAACTTCAATCTAGCACTCTCAAGGTAGGCAAATTAAAACTTTCTTGGACTGTTAGTGCAGAAATTTCAATAAGCTTAAGTTATGAACCCTAGACATGCATTTTATTTGCTTGAAAAAGCCACCAGAAACTCTTAAGTTTAAGAATCAATGAATCTAATTCTAAGAGGATTTTCTGATGAAATTTTTTTTAGCCTAGATCTATCATAACGAAATAAAATTCTTCAATATGAATAGGACAATTTATCATTCGTTATATTTATATTTTGGTTATATTAAAAACAAGATTCCAATTAATTTCATTCGACGACTTAGTTAGAAACTAAAACAGAACAGTTGAAAAGTTTGCCGTAGCAATATCGTACTTGTGTAGCCAAATTTTTTGACCAAGTTTTAAAACTCTAGCAATAATAGTTAACTTTCATGCGATGAATTAACTATTTTGGTCATATTTCTTGCAATTATTACAACAAAAAGGCCAAACTTGTTGAGGGTGATTTTCTTGAAGCCACAAACCATTACATTATTAGTACAAGTTTCTAATAAAATTTGTAACATACCATAGCAAATGCATTCTGAATGAAAAGGTAATGGGAAATCAGATCAAGCTGTGACTTCAAAGCAACCTTCAAACTCAAAGTTTTGAGGGAATTAAATCAGTGAGAGCTTTGGAGACCTAAATTCATATGCTTGGTGTCATTGTGTGTTCTAATGTCATTCAATGTGTGAAAGTCCAGTTACTGTGAATAAGCCACCTTTCCCCATTATCCCAGTTGACTCAGCTGTAAATGGAATAATCAATGCCAAATGGTTATGTCAAGTAGCAGATAGTAGAAAGGGTCCACTTGAGCCTAGGCTGTCATCCTAGTTCCTTCTTTTTTTCTTTTCCCCTCAGAAATTACTAGTGAAAATGACAACATTGCAATCTGTTTAAGATAATAGTCAATAGATAATGATTTATTCAACAGTAAATATATTTATGACTATGTGTGATCAACTTGACACTCATAATTTCAAACTGTATTATTAAAGTTTGTAATATATTTATCCTGTAGAGACAGCCAAATCCTGATTGGAGTAAATCTGATTTATTGAGACTGTTGAGTTATTTTGAAGGTGAATTACAAGCAAGAGACATTACAGTTGCTGCTTTAAGAGTAAGTATTATTTAATTGAGATAGACAAATAAATAAAAAACTCAAATAGAAATAACAAAAAGATAATGGATAAATTCAGAAATTTTATAAGCATTGACAAACAAAGGTTAAATTGAAAAGTTTTATCTTGGAATTCAATAAAATGGTATATATTGCAATCTAATACAATTGTATTATATATCGAACTCTCACAGATCTCATATATTGACTTTAATGGCTTTAAAACACAGACCAAATTGTATAGGAGGATTTGAGCTGATGTCACATCTGGGAGTTTCCCTGTCTAAAGATAGTCTGGCCGTCAATTGTCAATGAACAGCCATTTTTGTCTTGTGTAGGTTGCTGTAACCGTGACAGAATAATATCAATAAAAAGATGATTCAATTCTGCATTTAACCATGTACAATATGTTTTTGGGAGTAAATTTTATACATTCGGAAGGGACAAAAAGGAAGTGGAGATGGCGAGTTTAGACAAGTTCACGTTTCAATTGATTCCATTAATATGAAATGATCTTATTCAGAATATGGAGGGCTTTTAATTCTATTTCAGACTGCAACTTGTTTCAATATATCTTAAAAGGCCTCGTTGTCGAGACCACTGTGCTTTTCACATAAGCTGATGCGTTTAAAGACATGACCGGTAGCAAAATATCTATAGCCGCATCAATTGACGGCCAGCCAGTGCATTTGCACGAAAATGATGTCAAAATGGGAATTCCCAAATCATCCTATTCTATGCTACAATTTCTGTAGCTTTGTAAAAACAAGGTGAAAGTTTGAAGTTTATTATTGAAGTTGTTTTTTTGTTTTTAATAAATAATATATGTTACTTTTTGACAGGCCGAAAAATCCAAGCAACTTTATTATCAAGCTAAGTATGGGCGTTTTGGACTGGGAGATCCTTTTATGGCATTACAGCGTGATTCTGATAATACAAAAGACAATGCATTTGATGAACCAGCAATTAAAGCTATGTATGATAACCAGTTAGCTCAATTGGAAAATTTAATAGCTACTCAACGCAAAGCACAGCTGAAGATGAGAGAACAACTTGTTAATTCTGAAAAAAGGGTCCATAAGGTAAATTACATTTTTATACGCCCACATGGAAATGTGGACGTATATTGCCGTCGCCCCTGTCCGTCGGTCCGTCAACATTTCTTTCACAATAGAGACTACAGTTTTCAACTGATTTTAATGAAATTTGGTGTAATCATTTATATTGATGAGATCTTGGTCAAGTTCCAATTTGACGATCTTTCGATGAAAGGTTTTTTAGTTATTGCCCTTGACTTAGGCAAAACGCGTCAAAATTTGTATGTGAACACATTAGAGACTACAATTTTCAATTGATTTTAATGAAACATGGTGTGATCTTGTATATTGAGGCGATAATTTGATGTATTTGGGTTATTGATATTATTATTAAATTTCTTAAATATGAGAAAATTCATACTTTAGTCACTAAAGACTGTTTTATCATTTCTTACAGCTGCCAGTGAGCGTATGTTACCTTGCCTGGCAAGCTATCTTTTATGGTGTAAAGTCCTAAAATGAATTGGTAAACTCAATGAATCATGATCAACAAAATAGATAATAGGTAAATGTCAATCTTGGGGTTAAAACAACCTATTGATAGGCCTCAATATCACTCCTTTTTGTTTTTAGCCCATTTTGTATTTTATCAAATGAGCATTTTACAGCATTTAACAATATTTTCCATTGTTTAGATGTGTGCAGAACTAGAAGATGAAAAACGAAAACATGCACAAGATACTGCTCAGGGAGATGATGTTACATACATGTTAGAGAAAGAAAGAGAACGCCTCAAACAAGAAGTATTTATAATTTTTTTATGCACCAAAGCATCCATCTGTCTAGAAGTCTGTGCGTCAAAAGAAAGATAACTCATACGTTTAACACACATAAGGAATCATATTTGACACATGACGTATCCGCATGACATGTGTATGGAATCTTAGCTTAAGTGTGTCACAAGCAGTGTTCCATTATCAGATCAAAATATCATCAATGCATGCACATTTTTGTGTTCCTAAATATTAACAAGCATGGTTTCACACTATTTATCTATTTAAGTTACTTTCACTATTGAGGGAGAAATAGATATTCCAAGCATTATAAAATATCTGTGTAACAACTCTGGGTTATATCAATGGAAAATTTGCTTCATTCTTACACCAATGATACATTTTTCTTTTTTAATGTCTTTCAGATTGATTTTGAGAAAGGACAAGTGAAAAAGTTAGAAAAGGATTTGAAGAAGACTTTGGCAAGTTTGGAAGAAGAACGTGCAAATTCAGCTAAACAAAAACATGTAGCTATAATGTTATTAAAAGAACGTAAACAAATTCTTGATAAGATAGCCCATGATCAACAAAAGTCTAATGAACTTGAAAATCTTATGAAAGATGATAAAGATCATATTAAGAGTTTGGTTCAAGGTGGATCTCAAGAAGCTTCAAAATCCATGAAGTTGGAAGCTGTGATGGAAAAACAATTAAGTGAATTCGACATTGAGCGTGAACAATTAAAAAATCGCTTAGCGCATGAGGAAGCCAAAAATAAAGAACAAGCTTTAACAATAGAAATGATGAATAAACAAATAGAGTCATTGACAATGCAATTACAAAATGTGCTAGAGAGATCAGCCTCTAGAGACTCCATACAAAGCATCGAAATGAAGTCAAGTGTTGTTCCTAACCGTGTTGTGTCTCCAATATCTGGTAATAGACCTACTCCTAAAAACACTAAACCGGTGTTAGACACGCGTTCTGTTTCTCAATCTGTTCAATCAACCAGTCGTCGGTTGTCACCCCAATTGTCTGCTACCTCTTCCGACCAGACAGGAAGCAACAGAGGTGTGGATAATCCTGGTTCTCAAGGCAATGTAACCCCTGTCACTGTAGTGGCCCAATCTGGCAACAAAATCTCTGTTCAAGTTCCTGGTGGAAGTTCTCCAAGAAAAACTGTGGCTCCAGGAAGGGGAACTCCCCCTCCATTACCCCCAAACAAGCCTGTTTTAGCTTATGGGTCACCAGGAAGCAAGCCAACACCACCTCCAAAAGTTGGTATCACTATTTCTAAGGACAAAATAACAGTTTCTGGAGCAGAACCTAGTCGAATGTCTTCACCAAAATCAGTTCAAATTCCTGTCAATATTGTTGGTGGACAGTCTACTCCAACTGGATCTCGAACAAGCTCTCGTGATGCTTCCCCTATTAGAAACACTGGTAAACTTATAGTGAATGCTAAATAGTTAGTGCACCATTGTTTTTTTATTTTACATTATTTTAAGTGCAATCAATAGGCTGTAGTGCAGCAATATTTTAGACTTTTCTTAACCAGAAAAACAATTAGTGACAGTCATGTTACTGTTAAAGTGATTTTCATTTTCAAGCTTTTTTCTCTGAAAAGTATAGTCTTTTTGTTTGATTAATCACCTACAAGTTACAACCAATCTGTCTACAATTAGATAGAAAAGTTAGAGAAGATGACTACATTCTAGGATTCAAGTCTTTGTTCCTTTCAAATATTACAGACTGTCCCTGTAGAAACAGTGTTGTCACTGTCCTTCCTACCCTTCTATCTAGTAAGATTTAGCTCTATAAACTGGTAAAGATTAGACATTTATGTAAGTTACGTAGTCTTGTGTCAAGGTAACATGACTGAGTGTGAATTGATTTTCATACTAAATACATTATTATCTATGCTATTAATCAAAATGGCGTCAATGAGACTTGTTTGGCCATTAAATTTGATTTAAGAAACCAGTTTGGAAAACCAAAACCACAATCAAGTTAAGATACTTTTATTGACCATACTAGATAATTGACATGTAATAGACAATCCAAAACTTTCTTAACTTAAGTCTATCGAGTGGCATGGCTTGAGCTTCTGAAGCAAATAACAATTGCAGTAAGATTGAGTTTGTGAAATGGTGTGTATTTATCTGTTATGCTCTTTGTTCAAGTTAATCCCTTTGTTATATACCATTGATTTAAGTTTCTTGTTTTCAAAATCTTTTTGTTCTAAACTGATTTTTTTTACAACATGAAATTTCTGGTATAACGATTATTTTTCTCTCTAAATTTTTCATTATAAATGTTATACGTACTATCTGTTCATGAAATATGTAGGCCTACAATTTCAATTTCCCATATAATTACCTTTATTGGTTAATAAATGTAAATTGCTATGCATGCATTGACTCATTGTCACCTACTATTCCATATTTCTACCCTGAGTCACTTAAGTAGGTATATCTAAGTATAACCATTAGAAATGAATGAATATCCATTGTATATGTCACATTTTCAGCAGGTGTTACAGACCAATTCAATGTGGCATTTTTATTTTCTTATTTCAAGGTCTAGCTCTCAATGGATCAGAATTATAGTTAGGTGATGGCTGTTCAATATTGAGACAACATTTTTCATAAAGTTAGCTATTACATACATACACGTACATGCTTTAAATTATATTTGTCAAATGGATTGAAAGTTACAGTTTTTCTATTAGGTTTAAATTATTTTTCAAATTATTTTTTCAGTTGAGCATATTTTTCATTTCTGAAATGATATTCTGATATAATATGATATGGTTTATAACAGGTTAATCAATATCTTTAATCTGTGTATTTCATTATCTATATTTTGTTTGTAGATAAACGGATTCCTGTTAGAGTTATCTCCCTGTTTAAACGTTGAGGAGATTATTGGTTACATGTTCATCATCTCTTCCATCAGAGTTCAATAAGTTACATTAAGCTTATATAAAAAGTATAAAAACCAATGATTAAGTGTGAATATAATGGCTAGATGATTATACACAAGTCCAACTATTTTTCATACAATTATTCTGTATTTTCATTGATTTACAACTCTTCTGCCCAGTTTATATATAGGTTACTGTATGATATCAACTATTATGATCTGCTGACTACCTATTTTTAAGATACTAGTAATTTATAACCTAAAAAATTTGTCATATTTTATGAGAAATTCAAAAGTCTCTTATTATTTTATGAATTCCCAATTAGATCAAACCTTCATTCCATACCTGTAATAGCTTTTATTTCTACTCTACCACTCCAGTTAGCGTCTAACAACTCCCTTCTTATTTCTTCATATGAATAACCTTTGCCTTAACCTGATGACCTGTTCTTTGACCAATTTAAAGGGATAGGTTTGCCATCTGTTCGACCAATTTTACTTTTGTCTCAGAAAGGGATTCATTTAGCAAATCTTATCAGTAATAGTATTCACAACTCGCCGTTGAAATTTTAGTCTTCAAAGATGTCTAGAATTATCCGTGACGACTCGTCTTTTCTAGATACTCTGATATATAGGAAAGACATATAGAAATAGACAGTGAAATTCCTAGTTTGAGGTAAATTTTATGGAATTATGCGATTTTCATACATATATTCAAGACCAAAATCAACCCATAAATTCTGAACCTGTCCCTTTCATACACTTGGTTAATTTGGCACAAACAATTTTCATACTTTTTGTTTCATAGTACCTTTCTTAACTTGAATGAAATATTATATAATAATAACGAAAAATTACAATAATAGTGCTTAATACATCAGCTGTAGAGTGATATAGAAATATTATAACATCACTGTTAAGCTTTTTTTTTTTCCTTAGAGAAATTATAAATTTTGTTCTAAATTCTGGTAGCCAGAACATGAACTAATGTTTTCCACAGACGTATACAGTTGTTATGTTGATACTTGTACTTACTTTACTTAACTTACTATGCTGGACTTACTTTATAACTGTGCAATATTTTTCTTTGGTTAATTATTTTAATCTTTAGTAAATGGGGCTGTGTAGGAAATTAACAAATGTTGTGGAATGAGTTAAATAATTAAGAAATGTTAAGAAATATAGGATTATTATGAGTTCATACAAAATCGTGTTCTCAGATCATGTTGGAATTAAAAATTATAAAAATTTTTATACAGCTCTTATTCATTTGTTAACATTATTTTTCTGTACAGCAGGAGTATTGTTAAATATGGTGATAACTTTGACGAAAACAATTTTTACCATTTAATTCTGCCTTCAGAATACAATATAGGAGAATCCAAACAGCTTACATGGCACATCCCCTTTCTTAAATTTTACCCCTATGTGTTTCATTTATAAATCTTTAATAAAACAATCGATTTGTTCCATTTTCTTTGTGTTATTGTTTTTTTATATGTACAAAATTAATGTTTGTGTAGCTTGTAATTTATGGCAATATGAAAGTCATTGATCAATAAGATTTACATAGTAATGCTATATAAAACTGACTAGGCCTATTTATTATGCCCTTGATATGAAACTATTTATTGAAATCACACTTGCCATTGTTCCGTCTATCAAAATTTGGTTTGTTCTCAGTCTTCACTCTATAATTTTTGATAGATTGTTTTCAGTTTAGTTTTGTTTCATTATGATCAGACTATTTTCACAAATTTACAACCATCTCATGCTCTCCCTATTTTTGACAAAATGTTTACATTTCTTTGTAGATTCAAAATGAGGTAAAATTGATCAATTTTTTTACCCAGTTTTATTGGAAAAATTATTAATTATTGATTTACAGGATAATGGCATTTTGAGTCTATTATTAGTTTTTCTTCTACTTGTTTTGCTGATGTTCAACACCTTACATCATTGTTATTCTGTGATACCATATAATACTTACCACAGACAGATCATGAAATAATTTTGATCCCCAAATAATAAATAAAACCTAATGGATTAAAAGAATTATTAGGCTTTGAATAGTTGAATAGATAAAGGGTTTAGCGTAGAGAATGAGATTTTATATGACTGAATTAAGCATAATAAATATTCTCTTTAATTATCATCCAGATGTATCATTGAATCATACATAGAATTCACAAAATTTATAATTTATATTTCTAAGGCTTTATTGAGTCCTGTGTATGTGAATGCTGTGCGCCATCTCACATTTTGCATTTGTTGTGTTGCATGATATATTATAATTTTAAGTTCATCTTATGATATTTTTACCACAATGTTATCAAAGCTTTAGTGAAGTTTTTAAAGAAGCTATTTGTTAAGACTATTTATTTAATGTATACAATACTAATGATTATTTCCAATTGTATAAAATTCATATAATATTGTATGTAATATTCTTAGACCATTGTACAATAAATTAATATTGACAAGTGCAGTTGAGTGAATGAAAATCATAAAGTGAGACATTTTTTACTAGCTTTTTTCCCCGGGATGTTGACTCCTCCACTACCTGTTAGGATTTTGCCCTTTGATATCTTGGAAAATTTTTGTGGCTCAGTTGGCGTTACCTCCCTTGCCTAAGCAAACTTACATGGTACATTGCCTGGTGAAGTTTTTACCAAGTTCATTTAAATGAAATTCAACACCAACTTAGCAACTAGTTCCATATACGTACACAATAATTCTGCAACAGATTCCTATAAAACTGACTATAAATCTGCCAGAATCCTCATTTTATTCCAGATATCATAAATATTTTGGCTTATTGCCTTTAAATGTATTACATTTGTGGGTTTTATTA